AGGTGGCAAGGAGGTTTTGAGCCACCTCAATATTCCGGATGCCTGAGGCAGTAAAGGGTTGACAGCACCTATAGTTTTTTCACCGGCGCTACTCGGCGTTAGGATCCGCTTAACTTTGCAGAGCGCTACATGACATGAGCGCCATATAGCGCGCTCCGAAAAGGCTGTAGCTTGGAGGAGGAGTGATTCCCTCCTCCTAAGGCAAGCTCAGCCTCAGCATCGCATTGATAACCCTTGTGCCCTACGCTAACGTTCCTGCTAAAAATGAATGTCATATCAATAATAAGGACAGCGAATAACCCTAGTATCCAAGTTCCCATCAATTTGGGTGGAAGAGGTGATAGCACCAAATTGGCGCCCATTGGCGCCAGTTGGCGCTGGGACCTAGTGAACGTCATATTCGTGACCAGACCAACAAAAAGCCCTAGTATGTAACTTTTCCTTGAAGTTTGGTGAAAAAGGTAGTGGTGAGTTGGCGCGGCACCATTCTGGCGCCCCGTTTGATAGAAAAAAAATGGTTGCGCCTAATCGCTGGCGCCAGAAACGGACGTCACATTCGTGATGGGACCTCTGACTAACCCTTACCGGCAATTTTTAGCAGAAATTTTCTAGAGGTTTTGGGCTCAGGTGCTGCTAGTTGAATCGTGCCTGGGACCCTTATATCTGAAGATCTCGTTGGTCCACTATTTGCATAAATTAACAAAGGTATGAAGACTTGTACCACTGGGAAAAGTTCCTCGAAGATCTCGAACTGTTTCTAAGAATTTCATCAGGCGGGTTAATGGGTTAAATCGAGTGCTGCTTCACTTCTGCGGCGACGGACCAGCTCATCTTGGAAAATCTTTTCGTAATGTCCCTTTGAAGGCACCTTTCACTAGTCATATGGGCGGCCACAAAGCGCACTGCCTTTCTCTTCCTTCTGAGTCCCGTCGAGTCCCTTCATGCACTCACTTGAAAAGCCAGGTTCAGGGTTCTACATTATAGAGTCACTTTCGCTGCAGACGCCAGAGGGTGTGAGGAAGAAGGGGGATAGATTTGACACGGTGTCAGTCCCTTCTGCAGCAGGTCTATGGAGCGAGCAAGCGACAACAGCTGGTGAATAAGAGGCTCGGGCTGCACCATACCCACGTCTTGGAAGCGCTTGATCGGCAGAAACTCACTTTTGTTCAGAGTTCTGCTCACAATCTACTCTTTTTTACCCGGTTGGCAGAACATCGTGACGTGCTATGTGATGTGACTCTGGTTGCAGAGGTAATTTCCTAATATACTGGACGATTTCACACAGATGAAGTAGAAGTTTTTCAGGGAACGCGAATCAAGGCTCATCGAATCGTGCTCTCTACATGTTCAGATTACTTCAAAGCCATGTTTACAAAGTAACATGGCTGAAATTCGCAAAGGTATTCATAACCATTTTCCATCAATTCGACATTAAGTTCTTACTGTGTCAAGCACTCAACTCGTGCAATGCAAATTCAAGAGAATTTTTTCTATTCGCCACTTTTTCAGAGGAAATCGAAATGGTGAATGTGGAATCAGGAGCGCTCATTGCTCTTATTGATTTCTGTTACTCCGGAAGAATACGGATCAGCGACAACAATGTGCATAGCATTTTACCTGCTGCTTGCTTGCTCCAGTGAGTGAAGTACAGGTTCAGATCGAAGTATACAGCCACACTGCACCTCTCGAAATTTATTTCTCCCTTTCATAACTCGCTATTGAGACCAGATTTTGTGAAATGCGACTTTGATTTCACATTTGCAAGAAGTACTATGCCGATATACAGCGGGAAGAAGGGGGGGAGAGACACATTGGCGGTTATCAGTGAAGAAAACGCAGCACCAGGGCGCCAAGATGCTTTCCATGAAAAGAGGCAGGCTCTCGTCCATCATGTACACCAAAATATGAATCTGCAATCGCAGCCATACTGGAGAATTCTTGTGGAATTCACGTCACCTCCAATACTGAGCAGCTCTGATATTAGCAGATACTTGTCTTCGTGGACCCGCGACTGGAAGTGAACATGACTTTACATCTGAACAGCTCGAGGAGAATATCGTGCCTTCACGTCGTGGCCTGTACCATCTTGGAAACTTCGTATTGCTACAGGACTTGATGCCAGCAGACGGAATCGAAGGGCCTTGGAAAAGCTCTCGCTGCTTGGAATTGGAACTACTTGGAATAGAAGGATGTTGAGTACCTGAAGAAGATGGAATATCCAAGTGTGTCACCTGACCTAAACCCCTCGATTACCGGGTTCGGGCGGAGCTCAACAGGGTGGTCTACAGTGGCGGAGAAATCAACGACCTCGCTGAACTCAGGCACCGAATCACGGTCGCGTGGCAGAATCTCTCGATGGCGCTCGTCCAGAAGGCTGTGGCGGAGTATCGTGATAGTGTACAATGTGTTGTGAATTTGATGGTGAAATTTCCAATTAGGATTTAGTCAAGTGTAACTTATATCGCCTTGGAAGTCGAGGAAAAAAAGTGTCTCTTTTGCCTCCCTCCCCACCCTGTATGCACCTAGATCTTCGTTTAAAGTTTCATGAAAGTAGACACTCAAAGTTCATATTGAAAAATGCGAACGACGATGAAAATGACGCAGCAACTCGAACGACAAGTCACCTGTCGTCCTTGTAGATAACAGTACTCCAGACATTCGTCTCAGGATCGAAAACTTCGCAAGATTGATGTTTCGTAGCACCATCGTATCCACCCATAGCGTATAGTTTTTTGTTGACAACACCCCCTCCCACCTGGAACAAGCAGCATTTCAATTTTCTACATGAGAATAAGTTGATCAAAACTGTTTCCGAATGATGGACAGACTTACATTCGATCGCCTCTCGTTCATGGGAGTCACTGCCGTCCATTGGTCAGTTGTTGGGTTATACTTCTCAACTGAATTCAGCGATCGTTCTGACTCATCCTTTCCGCCCAGAGCATACAAATGCCCATCTAGTGCACTGCATGCCAGGTATCTTCGACATGTTGACATCGGGCTAACCTTTTCCCATTTGCCAACTCGTGGGTCTAATCTGAACGTGTGTACCATACGGAATGGAACAGTAGGAGCATGGCTGAGGGA